TACTTGGCCCTCCCCCAACATGCTTTGCTAGGCTTTTATCTTCTGGTTTCAACTTACAGGCAAACTCGGAGCTTCAATCCTGTCCTGTCGATAAGCCCATGTCCAACCAAGCGTCCCACCCCAGTTCATCGTTTTCCATTTGGAGCCCTCGATCCTCCTTCAGAGTGGTATGTCTCAATGTACGTATTTAATCACGTTGAGCAGTATAATGTAGTTTCACATAATTTGTTGTTGCCTAATAGCCCGCTGGTAACTTTTCGGAACGATGCCCATCCGTTGCTGGTATCTCAGATGGCATGCAACTGTTGCATTTATTTTCTCTTTTTCGATGTATTTCGACACAGTTGCTGAGGTGTTTTTGCGCCTCTAGCTAACTGGTATAATAAAGAATGATGATGACTCCAAATATGGTGGTACATCAAGCCAGATAGATTGCATCTTAATCCAATCCTCCATCGTTGACTGTGTAGCGTACATTGGGGTGAAACGGGCGATAAAGGTGGTTCGGACCACGTACTCCTGCGCGCCAAATTCGGACACCGCTTGACAACGCGTCGGAAGACCCTTCCACCAAAGCGTATCAACACAGCCCCACTAAAACCATTGACTGCTGCCGATCCCTTGAGGCAGCAATCGAAGCAGAAATTCCTTCCAGTGGACAAGGCCTCGTACTTGCAGAAGAGGAATCTGTAGACGCTCGCTGGTCTAGGCTAAGATGATCAGTTCAACACGCCGCTTTATCTACTATAAGCTCTATCTCTAAGCTTGTGAAGGACTGGATCACTTGTCCGCTAGAGAAGCACGTCTCAGAAATTCCCCAGACTACCGTCGCTTGAGACTTGAGGCAACCCGCTCAGTATGAAGTGATCGCCGCCGCTACTGGTCTGATATCGCGGGCACCATGAAGGCCGCATCAAATTCTGGCAATTTGGGTCATCTTTTTCATCTCGTCCGTTTAGCTTCCAGAAAGTGCAATTCACCACAGCCGATATTACGCAATCCGGAGGGCCAAATCATCCCCGATACGGAAGGAAAACTTTCCAGACAGGTAGAGTATTTTAGCAAACTCCTAAAGCGCCCGCTACAAACCACCGCACCCATTTCAGCATTAAGCCAGCAAGGACATGACGCGGATTGCTCACCGCCATCTTCCACAGCAAGCGCAGACATCGGTCGTCGCTTGAAGCTGAAGAAAGCCCCGAGAGCGGACGGGATTCCAGCGGAAAGCTACAAATTTTGTCTACCAGCTCTCCTTGACAACAAGCACATTTGTTCGATATGGGAGACCGAAATCTGTCCTTCCTCGTGAAGCACTACTGTCATTTCTTCAGCTAATTAATCATCGCCACTCCCAGTCAGCAGGGTTAGGCTAGCCTGCAAAATCACCAGACGCCGGCGTTTCTAACTTATGGGTCTCGTCATTGGTGCGCCTCCCAGCGGACCCCTGCCGGGTTCCTCCCCCATGACTTCAGGAGGCCAGTAGCTATTGCCACTTTGGCATGGGTGACAGCCGCCGATATGCGTGATTGACAGTTGACTATGATATAGCCCAGCTCATCTTCCACTGCCATGCCAGTTAGAAACTGTACGGAGGACAATGGCTAGCCTCACGAGCTAGGACTTTGCGCATAGCGCCAATGCACCGCATAGGACAGAAGCTATACGGAGAGATTTTATAGTACTGATGCTTTTCCAGTCTAGCCTAAGCCTGCTGATTGGGTGAAGATGATGAATCAGCTGAATTATGCCAAATTCCTCACTACTCATCAGTACTACTGCCATTTCCCAAGAAACATGACCGAACTGTATGCAGCAATTATCACGGGATTAGCCTAATCGATGTGGCTGCCAAAACCTTCGCACGAATCTTGCTTTCCCGCTTTGCCAATGAGAGGAACCAGCGAACTCGCCATAACCAAGGTGGCTTTCGTCTAGGCAGAGGCTGCACTGACCAAATCTTCACTCTACGTCGAGTACTCGAAACCCGATACCAGTTCCAGCAGCCTACGTTTGTGTACTTCATTGATTGTCGAGCTGCCTTTGACTCAGTTGATCGTGAAGCACTCTGGAGCATCCTACTTGCCTTTGGCGTGCCAATTAAACTCGCTAACTTGATGAGATCATACTACCGTTGCAAGAAGGCCCGGAATCGGGTCTATGGCGAAGAAACGAAGAAATTCGACATCAATACTAGAGTCCGACAGGGTTACCCACTTTCTCCAGTGCTGTTCACATCGTAGTCGACTGGGTTATGCATCATGCCCTTGAGGGGCTATATTGGTGTTTAAAGTTAGCACTGACTTCTGGCTGTCAGATCTAGAATTTGTTGAGGATACGGATATGCTTGCAGGAGATGCTATATCATTACAGTCACTGATAAATCGGGTTGACCAATCAGCCACTATGTTTGGCCTCGAAATTAATATCAACAAGACGAAGGTCTTCTCATCGTTGGCTACCCAGTCCGCCCTGTCGCTCTCCTTACATGGACAACTAATCGACTTTGTTCCAGAGTTCAAGTATTTTGGATCCACTATACTCCCCAATGGTCAGGCCACATCCAAAATCCGGAATCGTCTTGACAGCACTAGAACAGCCTTCTTACAACTGGGAAACACATTGTGGCGAGGAACGGAAAGTAGTCTGAGAACGAAGATACGAGTATTCTTAGCAACCATTCGTGCCATTTCACATTGTGGTGGCGAAACATAGCCACTGCGATGCGAAGACACACGGAAGCTGAAAGTCTTCAATCACTGATGTCTAAGGTTTATCTTGAAGACGCAGTGGCATGAGCGTATCACCAATGACGAAATCCATAAGCGCTGTTACCGCTTTCCAAAACGCGCAACGTTCATCCAACGCCGCAGACTTCAGTGGTTCGGACATGTCTTCCGCATACCAGACACTGACTTCAGGAGGGCCGTGGTTACACACTCGCCTTGCCAGGGTTGGTGTCGTTGCCGTGGTGGACAATTGAAAACGTGGCTGGCTGCAGTGAAATCGGATGTCGATCTTCTGGAACTCCATGTTGTGCATGGTGCTCGTCAGTGGAGGAACCACGGGATAAGTGCGTGGAGCTTGCCGCCGACCGCCGCGCTTGGGCAGCTGCAATCCGTGACATTCATGAAGCCGGCTCATCCTGTCGCTGGAGCTAACCGCAGTAAAGTGAAGCAAAGTAAGTAAGTAAGATACACTCAGTTTCTTGGTGCTCCTTGTTTAGGGTTTTAAATGCAATAGTGTCCATTACTGTAAAAACCATATCACTGCCTTTCGGACAAGCTTTTGAGCCAAAGGCTTTGGTTGATGACCCTAATCGTCTTACTAGCTAGGTCTGGGCGCTCTGGCAGTATCTCAGCCTACCTAAATCCCTGACTATTTCTTCGAAATCCAACCAAATCCTTCATCGGCCGTCGCGCAGATTATCAATCATCGCCTTATCTGCTGCATACAGCAGGGCAAAAACGCTAGTGCTGGGGCCTCCCTTCTTTCTTCTCCACCTGTTTCCCTTACTCCCCTCCCAGCCCCCATCGCTAACCCTTCCATAATTCCCAGCCTTATTGACAGCCGTCGCTATGTCCCTGGAGTCATACTACATACATTCACCTTCCCGCACCACCCACCGGACGCTTGTCGGCAACAATCCTTTATAAGGCCATGCTGTCCCATTTCTCTGGCGGCGTTCAACATTCGCACTCTATGACAAATGGGCCAACAGGCTGTACTCGCACGCGAGTTGGACAAACAAGGTATTGACGTATGTTACGTATCTGAAACTAGTTTCAATATCCCTGACGTGGTTGTTAAGTTAACTGTGCCCAGTTTGTCCTCTCGCTATTAGTTGCACACATCTGGAGACGCTGATGTGGCAATCACTGGTCAAGATGGGGTGGACATCAGCCTCAACTCCAAGGCTGAGTCATAGTTGTTTGATTGGATTCCCGTGAGCAGCCGTTTATGTGCAGTCCATTTGACTACATCAACTAAGGTTGATTCACAAAGTTGTGCAAAACGCAGCTTGTTTGTGATTTCCGCGTACACCCAACCAACTACAGTTCTGATGCTTGCAGACACATTATACCGGTAGCAATGTGGCTGAGTTGGAATCTGCCAATGTCTCCAGCTGCGTTTGACTCAAAGGAGTGAGTGACGAGGCCAGTAAGATCCGGAAAATCACCCTTTCGAAACGGCTGGGCAAGTTGATCCCACGATAACTGTTGATACATTGCTCGAGTCACTTGTCATTGTACAGTGGCTGCACAAAGACAGCAACGGGGAAAAGTGCTCCCGGGTGTTTAGTTCATACTAAAAACTGATGGTCGAAACGCAAACGGATTAAAGTGATATGGTTTGACCCAATTGCTTGCCTGTGTAATTTACACTTCCGCCTTACCAATACAACCAGATAACCGATTTTGCCATAGGTTAGCTTAACCTTAGCCTCTTTTCCAGCAACTGATCACAAATAAACAGAGAAGACATACTAAGCAGTTAAACAGATAAAGCACAAGTTTCACAGGTTTCACAGGTTTCCATAAATTGTAACTCAAGCACTCATGTGCATTTCGTATGGGAAATAAAAAAGAGACTTTGTTAATCCGCTGTAATTGGTATTGCTGAGCTCGAACTACATTAATGTGTCCCCTTAGTGTACGTAGAAGAGGAGGGGTGGCCAAGCAATGACTAGGTCGCGAGGAATGAAGGCTTCCACTTCGAAGCTGGCCCCGGTTGGAGCTTCTCGGCTCCCTGGTTGGGATCCGAAAGACGACGAACACGACTGGCTGGATACACTTGCTGACATGGCTAGGAGCCGACCTCAATGACCTCCGTGCTGTGAGTTTCTTTATCCCTCCCGATCCCTCTTAGTCTCCCCTCCAACCACGATCTCAGTTCAACATAACATAACATAATAAGTTTTTTGTTGCCTATTAGCCCTCTGGCAGCCTTCTGGAACGATGCCCATCCGTTACTGGTAGCTCAGCTGGTATGCATCTGTTGCACTTACATCTTTTTTGCTTTTATTTATTGCCGCACAGTGGCTGGGGTATTTTCCACAGCTAGCTAACGTGTATAATGATGATTGACACATTAGTGTACGTACCATTTATCACTGCGTCCAGCTGCAAGTTAGTAGCCGACATGCTGGTCCTTGTGTTGGAGATAAAATCTTGGTTCAAACACGTCAATTTCTTCCGGTAGATGGATAGCACGCAGTCCACTCGATGGTCCAGACGGGTATGAAAAATGTGCTGTTGATGTGTATAGAAGAGAAGTTATCATCTTCATCATGTTCACTTTCTAGTAAATCGGCTAGATAATTACTCCGATGTTTACAGTGAAGGAGGGTGTGGATGGCAAGGCCCACTAAAGATGAGCCACTTTATAGTGGTGTATCATTTTTCAGCCTCACCACTGAGATAGACTGCAAATTTCTACTAATGCAAGCTTATACAAGCCAACTATGCTATGCAGCCCTAATCGAATGAACTTTCAAAGCATTGGAAGATTCGTAGGTTGCTACCTTTCCTTACATAAGATGAAGCAGAAAATTAACTCGTTAAGAGCCAAAATTTTCCCCAATTCCTTTTTACTATTGTACACGTACTTCTGTTTGGTATGGACAACATACATATTGAATCACGTGCTATATTTGAAATCCGCCACACTGATACAATGTAGCAGAGTTAGCAGCATCCCTTTGTTTCTTAAGCAGGTAAGACGGCGTAACAACACGGTTTGATGCATACGATGCCCAAGTGTGGAAAAGGGCAGTTAATGGGTTGAGCAATGTTTTCACTGGTTGCTGCGCCATTAGAATAAACTAGGTTCTAAGAGATGACCGTCAATACAAATCCTAGAATTTGTCCCTAATCCTTTCTAGCTATCGATTTCGACCTGTATGGGAAATAATGGATGATTTCAGAGTTACATACGCTATGTGTACTGTACATAAAATAGTTATGTAAAAGCGATAGAGAACCTGTATGATCTCCAAAATGTTGAGCTTGATACGCTGCTCCACGCCCGTGCAGCCAAATTCAGGTGCATCTTGATTTTGTGATTTCACTGAAAGATAAGAGCAGATTGCTGACAGGGAACCGTAGGTATAATTAGCTGGCTGATTACGGGACAAGCGTGCTTGGAAGTAATCCTTATTTAGGCTAAAGTAAAGGTGTGTCTCTTGGAAGTAGGGCATGGTTGGTTCTTCTTGGAAAACACTATGGTTATCTACTAAACACAGCCGATTCAATCGTTTGCTATCGAATATAGTGATGGATTCCTCTTGCAGTAATAGTTCAAACGAAACAATAGAACATAAATGGAACAATGGTTTAACATGGTTAAACAAGGCCATATTGTAAATCCCACAGGTGAAAGGAAAAAGGCCAAAAATAAGTGGTTCAGCAACATAGTTAACGTCTGCATATCGTTTGTTTACAGTAGATTGTGACCAAACGGACTGGAGCTATATCCCGCTATATAAGGAAGCCAATGTGTTATTAAACTGTTTTGTTCAGTTACTGGTTATGCTGTAAGAGATAACGTAAATCTGAAAACAGTCCCGGAATTGGCACACTGAATGGAAGAACGTATTCCGATAGCGTTTTAATCGGATATACGGTGTAACAGACAATTACTGATATTCTGTCACGCAGCTTCAGTAAGCCACAGTAAGCTTGGTTGGGGTATGCTGAAGCTAATACGCTACTACAAAGTTGTTCGGCAGATGGCACTATAGCCTAAAGGCGGACAATTGATAAACCGTCAATATGTTTAGTCACCCTTTGTTATGGAATCTCAAGAATAGCGTGAAGGTGAGTCTACCGTGCTACCAAGCCCTAACATCGAAGTTGGCCTCGGCTGGAGACTGTCGGCTCCCGGCTTGGGGACCGAAAGACGATGAACATGTTTGGCTAGATACACTTGCTGACCTGTCTATACCATTTCCCTGCCAAGTTGTCCACTTGGGCAACAGCAATAATCTGAGGGGCATTCAAAATGAGTCTACTCATTTTTCAATGGTCAGGCCAGGTGTCAACTCGTCCTATTGCTCTATCATCGCCTAATACTAAGTACGTCCATTCGGCCGTGCATGCGCTCCTCGGTCGCCAAATGGAATACGCATGCGTTGGTGCAACAACACTGTTCACAACCAACTGGACGAGGCAAGTCACGGACTTTGGTATCCGATGGCAACAACCGGCGTTATGCAAAGGAGACACTGATAAGTGTCGTGAAATCCTGTGCTCTGTTGCAAGGCTAGTGCAAGACTGACGTAACACGGAAACAGCAAATTCCTCCCCCTTGCTACTTGGAGAGGTCTATGTTTTTGGATGCGTCCTCTTGTTACAACGCGATGACACAGTATCACGATCCCCAATAGCAAGGATGAGAAGTTTGCTGTTTCCGTGTTACGTCAGTCTTGCACTAGCCTTGCAACATAGCACAGGATTTCACGACACTTATCAGTGTCGCCTGTGTATAACGCCAGTTGTTGCCATCGGATACCAAAGTCCGTGACTTGTCTCGTCCAGTTGGTCGTGAACAGTGTTGTTGCACCAACGCATGCGTATTATATTTGGCGACCGGGGAGCACATGCACGGCCAAATGGACGTACTTAGTATTAGGCGATGATAGAGCAATAGGACGAGTTGACACCTGGCCTGACCATTGAAAAATGAGTAGACTCATTTTGAATGCCCCTCAGATTATTTCTGTTGCCCAAGTGGACAACTTGGCCGGGAAATGGTATAGAAGTCGACATCAATGACATTGTGTTGTGAGTTTCTTTGCCCTCTCCCTCCCGCTTAGCCTTCTCCTCTAACCATAATCTCAACTCATATGCATAATATATTGCTTCTTCGTGTGGCACAACAGCCGCATGGTAGCTCGCTGGATTGATGTCCATCCGTTACTGGTGTCTCAGCCGAGAGTGTCACTGTTGCAGGTTGGTACTCTCTTTACTATTGCCTCAACATTCCTGAGGTATCTTCTACTTGTAGCTAACATGTAAAGCAAGATCAACAGCCATAGCCACAGCCACAACCACAGCCACAGCCAAAGCAGCAGCAGCAGCAGCAGCAGCAGCAGCAGCAGCAGCAGCAGCAGCAGCAGCAGCAGCAGCAGCAGCAGCGGCAGCAGCAGCAGCAGCAGCAGCAGCAGCAGCAGCAGCAGCAGCAGCAGCAGCAGCAGCAGCAGCAGCAGCAGCAGCAGCAGCAGCAGCAGCAGCAGCAGCAGCAGCAGCAGCAGCAGCAGCAGCAGCAGCAGCAGCAGCAGCAGCAGCAGCAGCAGCAGCAGCAGCAGCAGCAGCAGCAGCAGCAGCAGCAGCAGCAACAGCAGCAGCAGCCGCAGCAGCAGCAGCAGCAGCAACAACAACAACAACAACAACAACAACAACAACAATAACAACAGTGCATTCCATATGTGGTGGGGTATCATGATCTAACCCCCCCATACTATCTCTGTAGGTTTAGATGAGCTCTTCTTACTGCTATGTTGGCCTTTCTTCATCATCCAGAAGCCATCGTTTCTAGACCTCCAAAATACATTCATTGCAGCGCAGTCCACAAAAGCGTCTCTATGATCCTACACTTCTAAGTACTGTGGTACCGTATGCTAAGCACTTTCCACTTAGTCACGTCAAAATGAAGGACGTGCTGAATTGACCACTCATTAGCCCTGCCATGATCCTCCTGAATTGCTAGGTGGCCGTCCGTTACCTTGATCGCACTCCATATATTGACAGCATCAGGAAAGATTGCAACGTTGGACGCGGTCGCTGCCGTAAATTCCTCTATGAGCCCTAGAAATAGCCACGGACGTAGTACCTAGTCATGTGACGTGTCACGGTGCCCAGTGCGACAAAGCGCTACGAACCGTCCCATTGACTGTGAAGGAGTAGATTACGTTCCAGCTTAGGACAGGACTACCGATTCCATAGTTTTGAGGCATGTGAAGAAAGGTGTAATGATTCAGCCAACCGAAAGCTTTTGAGTTCAAGTAAGTGGTCTCAACTCCACACCCAGCATCAAGGTAGACAGCCTAGACCGTATAGAGTCTATTTGGTCTAGTCTATGTCATCGACTATCAGAATGACATTGGGACGTGGCGGGTTTCATCAGAAGCCATTATACTCAGACACAGGGTTGGTGCACCTTCCAGAATACCCAACTGCTGAATCCGTGATGATAGCTTTCATTGACTTCACAGTATTGGGTGGAAAGTTAGGAGCGGCAGTTGTATGGTTCAACACCATAACTCCTATTATGCGATTCCACGTCAACTTTGAGACACCAACGAAAAAATACCGGGACACGTAGGGTAGATACCCTTGATGATTATGAGTGATTGTCCTCCACACGTGGAGGTTTGAGCTCCTGCAAAGTGTTTGGTATTTGAAATAAATGAGAATATGCGTAGGTCGGGGTGTGGATGTGGATTTTAAGCGGTTCTCCGAGCTGAGTGATTATTGTGCAGGCGTTTCGTTGCCTGAGTAGGCAACATCATCAGTGCGGTTTCAGGGGCCTGGTACGTAGTGCCTGGTAAGCGACTTCAATATCCAATTGCTTATTTATCGAGTTCTGCTTTGAATGCCAGGCTTCAATGGAACTCACGTGCTTGCTGGATTTTAGCCCTTCCGAGGATACTGGTATGCTCTATGTCGAATTTATGGTTATCAGCATCCATGTGCACTGACATCAGGGAGTTCTGATTGTGGCGACGTATGGCTAGGCTGTGTTCGTGTAGCCTTGTGCCAAGCGTTCTCCCAGTCAGTCCCACGTAGTATTTGTCGCAGTTCCGACAGCAGATCTTATAAATCACACCAGTTTCTTCTTTGTTATCTTTCACCTTGAAGAGTTTACTGCGAATGGTTTCCGTTGGCTGGTGTGCAACTTTGACTCCAAAAAGCAATAAAAGCCTCGCTGCCATTTCAGAGATACCGTTGATATAGGGAAGTGTTGTTCTCTTTTCAGCTGGTACATTTGTCGAGGTGTGTTGAGTAACCTATTGCGATGCGAGGCAGCGTAGAATGAAGCCTTTTGGGTACGAGTTCCGATTGAACAGGTTGAAGAGATGATCTTCCTCTGCCCCTCTCAGCTGCGGTGTGCTACAGTGGGTTTGTGCTCGTTTGAAAAGGGTTTGCATGCAGCTGCGTTTGTGGGCTGCCAGATGATTGCTGCCGTATTTGAGGATCTGGTCCGTATGCGTAGATTTTCGGTAGACTGTTGTTTCCAATCGTTCAGCACCAGTCCGTCGTATGAGAACGTCTAAGAATGGTAGCTGTTCGTTGTTCTCCTCCTCCCTGGTGAATTGGATGCCATCGAACACACTGTTGATTAGTTCGTGCGTTTCCTCCAATTTGGAACGTTTGAGGATGACGAAGGTGTCGTCTACGTATCGTACCCAAAGTTTTGGTCTCGCGATCGGAAGTGCTATTTGTTCCAGCACCTGCATCACTGCCTCGGCTATTAGACCAGAGATCGGCGATCCCATTGGTGTGCCTCTTATTTGTTCGTAAATTTGGTCATTGAAAGTGAAATGCGTTGTTAGACAGAATTCGAATAACTCCATCATCTGTTTGGGTTCGGGTCCACTGTTTGTATCAGACGACGTGTGCTCCTCTAGCAGGTGCGTCATTGTTTGTTTCGCCAAGCCAATGTCGATTGAAGTGAACAAGACGGTAACATCGGAAGAGACCATCATTTTGTCTCGTTCAATGGTTGCAGTTTTAAGTTTCTCAAAGAACTGTTTTGCCGAGTTGATCGAGTGTTCCGATCGCGCGATTAAGTGTTTTAGCCTTCTCCAGAGCTCCTTTGCATGCCTGTAATTTGGTGCTCCAGGTAAGGACACGATGGGGCGAAGCGGCATTCAAAGCAGAACTCGATCAATAAGCACTTGGACATTGAAGTCGCTTACGAGGCACTACTTACCAGGCCCCTGAAACCGCACTGATGATGTTGCCTAGTCAGGCAACGAAACGCCTGCACAATAATCACTCAGCTCGGAGAACCTCTCAAAGTGTTTAGTATGTTCTGTACATCCGGAGCATTGAAGAAAACACAGAAAAGTCTAAGTGGTGCGGCGTGGTCTGCGTGAAAGTGAAAGGTGGTGGCGGCGGCGGGATTCAAACTACTTGATCAATTCCATTGATAGCGTGTGAATTGCAGGTACTACCGATGGAGTGCGCCACGCAGAACAAGCGAAAAATCGGACACTGTTTTCACTACAAACCGAAAATATGTATTTTCCTGCTCATTTTTCGAGTGCATAGTGTCAGAATACAGGCATGTAATGAGAGGACTAAGGGTGCTCATACATAATGCAGGTCAGTACAAGCTATCGTCAGTAAAGTTGCAGCCACTTCCTCATCTATAGTTATGCAACGGTGTCTAGTTTGACCGCGCCTTAAAATAAAAACCAAAAACATTAACTGCTAAAATATCCTTGGGTACCTGAATTCCTCCTAGTAAGACTGTTTTTCAACCACCGGTTGAGAATCGTCATCAAAATTTGCTCGAGTGATAGTAACTTCCGAAGCGTGTAGAAGCCAAATTGAACTAGATATTTGGCCAGGACAATTACCTAAAAAAGAGCATTTTACGGAAGTTTTACTTCGGATGTTGAAAGCCAACATTATAGCCCATTTGCTTAACTAATGGCACGATATATATGAAATAAGTCACTGCATAAACTCAAGGACTTCCGTTCTATCCTATGTCTCTAGTATTCTCTCGTCATAACAAGTAATAGTAACGCATTAGTAACTTTCACTGCTGCTTCGCTACCATACAACCAAAACAACTGTATTAATGACAAAGGGAATATGGAGTAGTTGCAGATGTCCAGAGCCTGAATCCTCTCAGCAATACACGGTCGTAAACGACTGGTTCTCATTTGAGGATTGGTCCGTGTTGGTAAGACGGCTTCTTGCTGCCTTCACTGTCCCACGTCATGATCAGTCCTATCCCACAGATAAGTCGTCATCGGACGAAATGTTGTAAGCAGGTGTGCGACAAGTAGGTGAACGCAGCCGCGCCATCATGATTGGCAGTATGCCACATCTCCTACAGTTTATATACAAGCATGCCGTAGATCACGGGGATGAGGTTAACAAACTTTATCTTTGTTAACACGCTGGCTTCGTTCCTCACTAAAGATTCAAAGCTAGTCCCCCTCGATCAGGCAAACATAATTAGGCCCTCCTGAGTACACAGTGGGTAGTCTTACGCAGCACGTGTCTACGCCAACGTAGCATATCCAGCCTCGAGATATTGAACAGTTCAGAGAGTTGGGCACTTCGATTGCAGTCATTTCGTTACCAGGTGAGTTGAAAACTTCAGTGTGTAATTGGAGGGTCCATTTTGGATTACACGTTGTGTGATTGGATTGCGACACGCAATCTCAATGTATACCGCAATCCACATTGAAGTGCACCTTGGTCACTGCAATAACTAGTACCGTAGCCGAAGATGTCCAATCAACCAACGTGTAATCCAAAATTGACCCGCCAATTAGTCATTCACCGTTGTGACAAGTGTTGCTCGCCGTGACCCGGTAGCCAACGAAGTAGTAGCCTGCTATCTCCAGCTGATGAGGTGGAGTGACATCGAAACGCGTCCTGGATGTGCAGTGTTTTCGGGCGGGCAGCAACTAAATTCCATCTGCTTCAGTGCGTAGTTGTTAGAAGCTTCAGGTATCGATTTCCCGAACTGACCGTACCAAAACCTATACGTACTAGCCTGCACACGTTGCCGTTGCAGATATTTTGGTTTCAGTAGGCACAAGCAACGTTCCTTAGGCAACAGTGGTCAGCGCATGCTCTCAGTAGCTGATGTTTAACGTCGGTTACTGCAGCAAAGTGCAGTAGCAAAACAACAAAGTAAGACTTACCTCCAAGATGAGGCTTTTTCGGTTGTAGTCGTAGAGCTGCTTGATGTTACGGCTCGACTGTCGCAAACACCTATCGATGAATTCCATCAGTGGTGAGAATTCTTGAAGATTCGGAATACTGCTTATCTCAGCAGCTCGATAGGAATTGCACCTGCCAAATAATACCAATATATCAATCAGCCGTGCATAGTGATCATGACCATAGCACCAGGTGTCGTGAGCAAAGCATCTGATAGTGGATATGTAAGAAGTATATAATTGTGATTGTTTGTGAAGCGCACCAGACATGCGGCTCCAAGTAACTGGATTTGATACCACTTTCCCAGGATGTCAGTATCAATGATCAAAGAGCAGAAAGAGTATCAGATGGGAAGGTTAAAAATCAAATTTGCACCTTATTTACAATCAGTCTGAATTTAACCTCTTTAGCTATAAATGTTAATTTGATATCACGTAGGAATGACGGTGTGGGCATACCACACGTCCGAAACTGTCTGATTTTATACTGAAGGTTACGAAGTCTAGTTGACACATTGGTACATCACGCTGCATGAAACGAGGATCTTAGGCATAGATCATCTTTCTAAGCTCACCGGACCACAGAAAATGGATAACCTCCAACATAACTGCCTGCATATCAAACAGCGAACGCTCTCTAGGTGACAAAGATAAATGAGAATAGGTCAGTCAATTATAGAGGAAGATAGGGTGTATGAGCTATGATACACCAATTTTGCTTTTCCAACTTATGACAGTGCTACCAACTGGGCTGGCCATCTGATATGGTTGGTAGCATCCGGTTCCAAATTTGCCTGTCATTGCGGTTTCCATAGGGACAGCCACAGGACACCTGCGCCTACACAGGGATCATCTGTGGCCCGCGCTGCATTACCAACAGCTCCAATCACACACCTCATATCCAGTGCAAACCCGAAGGAATAAGACTGGGTTGCGTGGGGATGGGAGCCACGTTTCATCAACGGAGCTCGGCCACGCTCCTTCAACATGCACAACAGTATTCCTGTCTATCCAATTTGAGAATCATGCGTACCAGACGTACTCAAGGTGGTGGATGGAAAGTAATGTGTTCTGCGCTAGACGGAACTACCCTGTATGCCTAGCACGGTTCCGAGGACCGTATATCCGACCTTACTTCAGCACAAACTAGCATTTTCCTGGAGCCAGTAATCGAGGTGGAGGGTTTTATACAGGTAAGCACCTTGTCAATATTTACCTCAAGTGCAGTCACACCGGGAATATCAAACAACCAATACAGGATTTGAAGGAAAGTAAACACGCAAAGTGGACACGGAATATGCAGTAGAATAACAAAACTGAGCAAAGCAAATAAAGTGGAATATTTTTGTCCAGGTTACAAGGATCTAATTTAAGTGTGAGTCCGTGTAGCCCAACTGCGGTGAAAAAGCATGATGTATGCTACATCGAATATTTAGGAACATCATTCATAAAGGGATCAATGACGCCTCAAAGACTACTGGAACGTACGTTTTGGTGGGAATGTCCCCTTGCGGTTTGTAATAACCGTATCGTGTCATTTTTGCATTTAGTGCTTCTCATGTGTGGATAAGTATTCTCGTTTAGAACAGTCAGTTTAAGATTCTTTGAATCTAAGAACAGAAACTGGATCCTAGGAGAGGCGGTCATAGGGTCTGGTGTGGTGTAGAACGTGCCAGATGAGTGAATCCTTCGTGAAATTCAATGTGAGAATTATGAAACGGTGTACGTTCAAGAACATACTCGGTGGATCTATCTTCCGTTACCATATTAGAGTTTCCCCTTGTATAAACATAAACATTATCACTCCCTTTATCTGCTCCACAGACGGCCTCGCTCCCACTTTCGTCAGTACCAGGCTAGTCTTCAGCCCGTTTCTTAAGTTAGTCCTTTAATTTTTCGCAGATCTTGAGGGCTCAGTTTTTCCTTACATGTTCCATGTTTGCTAATACTTGTTTCAGTGAACTGAGTGCATGCACTGAACAGATGATGTGTCCAATGAAATGTTTTCATTGACTGTGAATCACACAAACAGATATGGGTCACCTTCCGTTCCGAGATTGTCACTGTGCAAGCGGTCACATTGTTACTGCGCATAGCAGGTCGCAAATAATGGAGCTCAATTATTTCCGTCATCTACCTCCCGTTTGTGACGATACTACTATTCGTTGGTGTTGCTTCCGAGTAACGATCACCTACCCAACACCGTTCTGGTTAACTGCATCGTCACTTCCCTATCATTCACTACGGCGCCAATCGACCATCATCATCATCATCATCATCATAATACACGTTAGCTAGAGGTGGGGAACACCTCAGTTACTGTGCCGCAATACAGAGAAAAAAGGAGAAAAAAAGGATTCAACTAAGGCAAGCCGGCTGAGCTACCGGGTAACGGATGGGCATCGTTCCGGTAAGCTACCAGCCGACTGCTGTGCACCAAAAAATTACTATGTAAAATTATATAAGCCTAAGTAGTGAGATCGTGGTTGGAGGGGGCTAGGAGGGATGGGGTGGGACAAAGAATCTCACAGCACGAAGGTCGGCTCCTTGCCATATCAGCAAGTGTGTCCAACCAAACGTGTTCATCGTCTTTCGGACCCCAACCAGGGAGCCGAGACGCTCCAACCGAGGCCAGCTCAGAAATGAGGGCCTTCATTCCTCTGGACCAAGTCATTGTTTGGCTACCCCCCCTCTTCCTCCATCCACACCCCCGGCGCGCAAACAACACACGTCGCGGGAGTCGGTGGGCTAGTATGCGTAACACGTGGCCCCGCCATCGGAGTCTGGTGCGTGAAATGACGGTACTTAGCGGTTCAGTTCCTTATTCTGTGCCATAAACAAGGCGTCGAACACGTTCTTTACTCACGCGGTGTTCCCACCAGATGTGAGCCAAACTGCGAAGGCACCGATGGTCGAACGTAACTAGCCTCTTCATGTCCGCCGATCTTAGGGGCCAGGATTCACAACCGTATAGTAGGGTCGAACGTACCGCTGCATTGTACACTCTACTCTTCAGGGCGAGAGTAATGTCACGCCGCCACCATAGGTGGCGAAGGTTAGCAAAAGCACTTCGAGCTTTTGATATACGGTTCGTGCACTCGTCTTCGATCCCAAAAATGCTGATACAACTTCCCAGATAGTTGAATTTCCGAACGACTTCTAGCTGATCCCGACCAAGGGTCAGCGTAGGAGGCGATCCGTGCCAATCTTGGAGGAACGCTTTGCATTTCGATGGTGCAAAGCAAAGCCCGAAGCCGCTGACAGCCAGTGCTAATCTGTCCAGCGCGACTTGGCACAGCTGGGAGCTGTCACGGATGAGGGCAATGTCGTCAGCCTATTCTAACTCAGGAAGTCGTTCTCCTGGGAGTAGCTCCACACCTTCTAAGTCATATCCTGTAAATGCAATCTCCATGGCTTCGTCAATAGCGTAGTTGAAGAGGAAAGGTGACAACGGGCATTCTTGTCTCACCGATGGAGATATTAAAGGGTGGCGACAGCTTGCCGTATGCCCTCACTCTGCCCGTGCTACACGCGTATAATGCTCGGATAATATTTACATATTTCTCGGGAACATCTTTCCTGAGTAAACAACTCCAGAGGGCACATCGATCAACCGAATCGAAGGCACCTTTGATGTCGAAGAACGCGACAATGGCGGGCCGCCAATATGTGTGACGGTGCTCCAACAACTGACGCAAGGTGAAGGTGTGGTCGATGCAGCCACGACCACGACGAAACCCGGTTTGCTCCTCACCAATCTGGCTTTCACGAGCGAGTCAGTCTGTGAAGGATTATGGAGGCGAGTAATTTGAAAGCGATGGAAACCAGACTGATTCCTCTATGGTTGCCGCGTTCCCGACGTGAACCTCCTTTGAAGATGGGAACAATAACGGAGCGGCTCCAGGCGGTTGGGACAGTCTAATGCTCCCACAGTTTCACTAGTAATTCATGTAAAGCATCAACAAGAGCGGAGCCTCCGAATTTGAAGAGGGCTGGAGGAAGATCATCAGGTCCCGCGGCTTTGTTCAACTTCAACAGTCCGATCTCACGTTCGATTTCTGAGTGAGAGGATGGATCCAGAAGGACAGCCCACGGAGCAGGGCGATCAGTGGCCGGCGAAGAATCGAACAATTCTAGCCGATTAAATTGCTTTTCAAAATGCTCAGCCCAACGCTCCAAGCGTTTTGACAAATTGTGCATAGGCTGTCCACTTCGTCACAAATTGTTTCACTAACACCAGGTCTCCTGCTGCCCGTTTCCCGTATCAGACGGATGAACTTACGATGGTTGCAAAAGGGCAGCGGCAATTTCCATCTCTGACGCACGGTGAGACCACCAAGATTTGAGGTCTCTCTTTAGGCTAGCACGGAGTCTTGCCCGGAGCTCTTTGCGAGTTGCACTGTGCTCGCTTCCAGCCGGGATATGCCAGCGAGCGTCGATAAGTTCCAGAGACCGCGAAGAGATCCAATATCCATGTTGGCGATTAAACACACCACAAAGAATTTACCCGCTGCTAGTAAGGTCTGGTGAACATGTGACCAGTGACCATCAATTGTCTCCAGTGAGCGATTACTCAGCTCGCCGCTCACCGTTATCATTAATGGAGCCTACACCGTGCTGACCGCCCACATGCATTTCATCAGTGGACAATTTTCCAACTTGTGCGTTCATATCCCCCGCCAGCACAACTGTGTCCGTGCTTCTTCTGTGGCGAAGGAACTGGGTCAGTTGGCGGTAGAAGTCATTCTTTACCGAATTATCGCTACAGTTTGTGGGCGCGTAGGCAGCGATGATGAGTAGACACCTATTAGTTCCGCGCGAGCCAGCCAATCGGACCGCACACAACCGGCTACTGATTGGAATCCAACCAACCAGAGCAGCTTCATCCCGGGGACTCAGGGCAATGCCAACACCAGCTTGGCCGGTGCCCGAAGTTGCATCGTCACTGGATAGGCGCAACGAAAAAACACTGCTTACGTCATCTGAAGGGGGATCGCAGAGTGAGCACAGAGCTAGAGTCTTGCAGGCGGGTCTCCGATAAGCAGTATATATCGATCGAGAGGGTCTCCAATGTTCGGGCAAGTGCTGCCTGTTGACCGATGTGTAGTAATTTGTTTACATTGAGGCATGCCA